GGAGTTAGAACTCGTGGATGGAGGGAGAAGGCATGACATCGCCAGGTGATATCTCCACGGCAACCGGGTCCAGGCGTGTGCGTAAACACAAATACAATGGAGCCAATAAAAGGAGGTACGCTTTTATGCAAGCTCAAACACACACACACACACACACACACACACACAGAGCGGCCCTTGAGACTGCAGCCAGAGGTGGAAGTGTTGACTACATTATGCACCTGCCTCACCCTCTCTCCCTCCCCCCCCATGTCTCCCCCATTTCCCGGCAGTACTGAGAATCTACAGCACGAATGTAAACTGCAGTCAAAAAAGCACAGAGATATAGTTTCACCGCTGCAGCAGTAAGAGTAGACGGCGGGGGAACGACGCTTCCCCTTCACCCAACCCTGAAGGAGGAAGGTGGCAAACGTGCTGCAATCTATGTCAACGCAAACAAGATTAGAGCAAACCTCATCACCAACCATATGGCTAAAAACCTGACCTTAGACAGGAGGAAGGGGGAGGAGACACACGGGCTTGAGGCGTGCACCTGTGTGTGCATGTGCACGGGTTTGAGAAAGCGTCCTGTTCAGCAAAAAGAGGCAAAATACGTTTCCATAAGCATCAGCTTGAATCCGAGTATTCATTCAGGAAACAAAGGCATGAAAGTAGAATGACAGACATTCTTAAATGGTTAAAAATGAATGCAGAACAAAAAACTCGCCTTAAGTTGCTGCAAAAGGTTGTTAAATAATACAGAGAAAACGTCACTTATTCGGTTTAAACTTAAGGCTTTAGCATCCAAGGTGTGTTTGTTCACCTCTAATCTACATCTACAGCCTAATTACACCAGTCTGCTGCCAGTTTATTCCAGTCGCACTGGTCAAAAATCAAACACACAATCCTGCTTGATGACCACGAGTTCAAGTACGCAATAAAAAAACAAAGCTAGAAGCGAGATGTGACAAATATCGACTCAAACAGGGCTCATTCTGGGCAGTGATCAAACTTATGTAATGATTTAAAGGCTCACTTTCTCTCCCCACGTGTCCCTGAGTTGAATCAGGAAGGTCATTACAAATGCAAAAAAAACCAAAAAAACAAAAATGATGCCTCATTATTTACCTTCTGTTCTTCTGCTGACTGTCTGAAAACAGTCTTTAGATGAACAAGCAGCAACAGCCTGATCACAGCGTGCTTCTTTTTTTTTTTTTTTTGTAAACTGACTTCTGAACAGTCACAAGGGCGTTCCGCCTGTAGTCTGACAACATCTGCATCGGTTCTATTTATATCTGAATAAAAGGACCCTCCAGAGGCCACATGGACCGGAACAGAAGTTTGTGTTGTAAAACTAAGCATCCATTGTGTCCCGGTGATGCCTGCGGTTAAAATTAAACCAAACCCCCGACATCACCTCCCTAATAAAGTGCTGCGCAAACTTTGCCATTGTCTGAGTGCTGTGTACACAATGTAATGTGTTTGTGTAGAGAAACATTATTTCCTCTAATAGGGAAGTTGTTTTCTGTCTTGTAACAGAAAAAAATAATCAAGAAAACAGAAAGACATGGAGAAAATAAAAAGGAACATACTGAGGTGGATTTGCTTTTACTTCTGGCATTAATGTTCCTAGAAGTCTAGATTGAGGTGTAAGAAATCATCATTCAGGCTTGATTGACATTTTCACAGACTGATTTTTTTTTAGCTAAAACTTTTTGATTTGTTGAGGCATATGTTGACTCAGTGTTATTATAGATGGCATTAGCTCGTCTGTCCAAAGTAAAGCAGTTCTCTGTACAAATCTACTGTGACAGGTGTTTTCTTTTTCAGCAGCCACCTGACCCACTTAGTGCTTCTTATGAAATATTTGTGATGCCAGCATCAGCGGCGCAGATCATTTATACCTGCAGCTGGCAGCCGAATGTGATACAGAGTCTGTGCTGCAAATGAACAGAGGCAGACAGGATGAGCGACGTTTAACGGAGACGCGGTCTCGTGACGGCCTTCAACCCACAAAGCGAGTGGGAGCACGCAGGCGAAGGTCAGCTCACCAAGCGGAGGTCAGAAAAGCTGCCTGTCTGTCTGCGATACACATGTTTCCTTCTGTCACGCCACAGCGAGCACAACATATTGATTTCACATCTGTCTCCCTTTTGTCATGAGGCTAAGGTTTGCGCTCGCAGGCCAAAAATACAGATCAAAGGAGGGTTTTTAAGCCGTGACACCAACGCTTTGTAGGCTCGGTGTTTCCCCGGGGCTGTTTACCTGTCAGTAACGCTTATACAGTGACTCCCACCAAATATATCTCACTCCCTGCTTTAAAAAAAAAAGGAAGCTGCCTGCTCGTATCATTCACAATGTTTTCATTTAGAATCTCCGGGCTGCATGACAGCGCGCAGTGATTTACATACATTCACGCCTTTCACTTGAGAATTTACAGTGAGTGACAAGCGGCCGCACTGCTGAATCATTTTCTCGGACAAGTTCTGGCGTCACAAGGACAATTTCATCAATCTCGACACCGAGATGAACAAGCTGGAGATGTAGCGCGCCGTGCACTGACAATCTGCATCACGACTGGTGTCTGCAAGCTTAGGGGCTGCAAAAAATATGCAACTTTCCTACTAAACCTCACACTATTTGCAAAAAAAGGTCCAATTTTTCTGGATAAAAATGTTTTACAATGTTCATGAGATAAAAAAAGCATTTATCAACTTGTTTATGCTTGAGCTGCAATGATTAATCAAGTAGTTGTCAAGTATTTTAATTAATCGCCACTACTCTTTAACCAATTAATCAGTTTGAGTATTTTATTTAATTAGAAAAAGTAAAAAATCTTTGACTCCAGCTTCCTAAATTAGCTTTTTTTCCACCTCCTTTATGAGAATAAACTGAATATCTTTGGATTGTGAACAAAACAAGACATTTGAGAGCATCATCTTGAGCTTTTTGGAGCCACTGATTGACAGTTCTCTCTGTTTTCTGATACATTACCTAACAAACAACTGGAGAAAATGCTGCATAGATTGATGGAATTGTTTGTGTCAGCCCCGGTTTACGCAAAAACAAAACGCAGACAAACTTTTGGAGAATCCGTTTGTGGAGTTGAGCTCAAAGTAATTGCAAAACAGCAGTGTTTACCCACCAGTATGGCAAAAACAGGTTCAGCAAACAGCTGATGACAGTTCAAGGCCTCCTCCAGGCTGCACACAAACCGGAGGGTCAGGAGACACACAAACAGTCAACATGCACACTGGAGAGTCTGCTTAAGGGGATTCTTGCACACAGTATAAAAAATAATCCACTTTGGAACGTTTACAGAAGGATTCTACACGGAAATCCCCAAAAGCAGAACAAACACATGAGGAACAGACGGATTTGAGGACAATCAGTCAAACTAAATGACTGCAGAAGACGTAGTCACTGGGAAAAAACAGCCTTACAATATGTCCCTATTCTGATATAACCTAAGTTTGGTTTCTGTGGTTGCACCCAGCCTGATGGAACAGTGTGTCCAGGGTGACTCAAAGTCAGCACAGGTGTCTGTCTGATGGTGTCCATACTGGGGATCAGGGAGCCTTAAAGGGGCCCCCATAGGTGAAGTCATTTCACCAATTATCACACTTGATTTTGTAATCCAGAGGCTCAGTTCTCACACATCCCTCCTAAAACCTTCCTCCAGGTGACTCCTCTTCCTTGGCATGATGTAACTGCATGCCATGCTCCAGCCCCTGCGAGGATGTGGCCCCTGTGTCTTGCACCATAGTACAGCGTAATTGGTGGAAGGGATGATGAATGCAATGCCGCATTTTTTTTTCTTTTTTTCTCCCCCCCCCAGGCGTAGTAAACGATGGAGAAGGGTCGAGTCATGCACCGGCTGTTAGCGGGCATGAAGAGCATCAGGGCTGGAGAGGAGGAAAGGGGGGAAACATGACTCTGGCAGTCACCTTACCTTTGGATTCGCAGTCGGCGCAGTATTTGTTCTCCTCCAGCGCCAGCAGAGAGTTGAGGACAGCCTGGTATCTGTCCACGTCTTTCACAGATTTGCCCGTCATCGTTGCGCTTCCCTCCTCCACAGACTCCCGGTTGCGCTCCGCTGCCGAGCTATTGTCAAATAGCCGCTTTACTTCGCAAAATGAAAGCAGTGCGAGCAGAGGCGATGCGCTCCGTCCCTCCTCCTCCTCCTCCTCCTCCTCCTCCTCCTCGATGTGGAGCACAAGCGAGTTTGTTTCACCACGATGGGATGATTGCGTTTCAGCCAACCAGCAGGCGGGTTATTCGAGGTGCAGGAGCCTCCATCAGGACGGAGGAAAACACGAGTGATCTCAGTGATTCAGACTTTGATCACATCTGTAAATCACCGCTGACTGATCCTCCTCTTAAACACATGATGTTGTCATGACTGTGCGTAAAAGCAAAATTACTGCTGTTACTTCAGCAACAACAACAAAAAAAAGAATCTCAAAGCTGTAATTTTCTGCTTTATAAAGACATCTCAATTCGTTTTGCTTCCTTTACTGTTCATGTGTCACCTGTGCTGCCATCCTGTGGCCAATTACAGGACTGGTGTGGGGCTCTGTTCTCCTCCAGGACACAAGAGGGCGCTAACGCCACAGGCCAAGAATAAAACAACAGTAGAGTTCAAGGCAGCTGTATGAAAAACTGCGTCAAGCTCCCCACATTCACCAAAACAACTCGAGGAGTACTGTACATTTATCTTCAGAATAAAGTAGAAAAGAAAAAGGCTGTGTATTTATTCAGATGGCACCCTAAAAAATAGAATTTTTGAGTGCTTTGACAGACAACTCAAAAGCAGAATACCAAAAGCAGAGAGCGACAAAGCAACAATTAAGACAACGTTACAGCAAAACAACTATACAGATGTAAAAATGCAATACATCAGTAATCACTGTTGTTGATTCTAAAAGAGACATAATGTTGGCTTTGTGAATCTACCGAACAAGTTTCAACTTAAGTAAATATTCCAATTAAGATCCTAAAATATTATTAATAATACAAATTTACCTGACTAATTGCATATTGATGTTATGACCCAACAACAATATATACTCTAACAAATGATCTAATCAATTTAGATTACTAGTGTATAATTGATAAGTGGATTTGATGAGGAATCTGTTGACGAATGTTGGCTTGGTTTGGTGCACCCCTACCTATTTCCTGGAGCTCATGAGTTGGGTTCTGGATTGGCCTAACCCAGGGGTCTCCAATCCTGTACCTCGAGAGCCACAGTCCTGCATGTTTTAGATGTTTCCCTCTTCCACCTGATTCAAATGATCAGGATCGTTATCAGGCTTCTGCAGAGCTTGATGATGAGCTGATCATTTGAGTCAGGCGTGTTGGAAGAGGGAAACATCTAAAACATGCAGGACTGTGGCCCTCGAGGACCAGGATTGGACACCCCTGGCCTAACCAGTAACCCATGTGTTGCCTTGTTGATATTCAGCCAATTGAAGTCTGTGTGGAGAGAAAAAAGGACAATGTTGATCTACTCTTTGACTTTTAAGGACTCTCCTGGAATTTGTGAGTCCTATTGATTTGAGAAAACTCCATGTTATTGTCAGTCAAGGCCTTTATGAAGATGCCCACTCTGCCAGGTGTAGGTTAAGATCCTGCAAAACTATACAGTAACAATCCAAAGGTTCCATTTGAGCAAGCACATTGGCGACAGTGGAGAGGAAGACGTCCCTTTTAACGGGAAGTGACCTCCAGCAGGTTAGGCGAGTGCGACCTCCTGCCTTGACTGACTGAGGATGAAGGGGAGAGACGAACTGACAGCAAGCAACAGACATAAACACTGGACAGATTGGTGGAAGCAGAAGCTGTCGATCAGACATGTGCAGCTCCAGATCAATAAATACCTGCAAAGAAGTACAGAGCAAACCAACGACAGAAGCAGTGATGTGACAACATCACATAAAAGCAAATCTACACAAATGAGTTTAAAAGAAGTCCCTGGTTCTGTAAGCCTTATATTCTCAGACAGGTTGACTTTGAAATAGCCATCAGGGTCCAAGCTGAGGATCTAAAGATGACTCCTGGCATCAACATTTCTTCTATACAGCTTGAGGTGCTACAGTGACAGTAAAATCCTAAAATTAACTCTAGAGAGCCAATGGAGAGAACCCAGAACCAGTAAAATCTACCACATTCTGATTTTGGTTCTTAAATACATTCTTTATCATAATCTCTCTGTCATTATTATATTATTCATAATTGAATTTTTTTTTTCTTCTGGGATAAATAAAGTATTTTTCATTTCATTTAATTCATTTCATTAATTATACCTGTTACTAGTGGTTCCTTTAGTTTGAAATAACACAGGAAGTGCAGGTTTTACTCTGGCTAGCTTGACGTTGGTGGAAGTGCGTGACTGAATTGGCGATTACGGAAATAACTTGCTTAGGCAGAATCAAATAAATAAAGGATTATTATCGAGTCACCACCTGTGTAAGCCTGTAACACTGTCCACAATGTCCAGGCAATCCAACCGAACGACAGACAGCAAGAAGATGGTAGGCGACTCGCTCAGGATTAACGCCAGCCTAACCTAGCTAGCCTAGCTAGCAGAATGCTAACCGTAGCCAAACAGCTAACCTAACAGCTGACTGCATTAGGCGATATTTCTGCCAGCTAAGCTGCTTGTCAGTCGTGTATCTTTCTTTGGCACATGTTGCTAAATGCATGAAAGGCGTTTGAACCGGTTCAATGTGTATTTCATTCATTGTTGCTTCGACGAGAAGTGCAGTTTCTTATAGCACACAAGCTAACTAGTTAGCATCGTATAGCAGTTGTGCATTTACTGTACGCTTAACTCCATCAGTTTAAAGTTGTTGTTTTTTTTTCTTATTTATGAAATTTATTTACATGTAGGCCAGTAGAATTAGATAATTCGACTACTGGGCTGAAATGCAAGACAGAAGTTCCTGAACAGCTTTAACACAATTTAAACGCGAAGTAAATAAAAGCACCAGAGCCACCTGCACCATGACAGCTCAGGATAAACTGTGTTAGTAATGGTTAAAAGGTGGCTTTACAGTTTTACAGATGCAGTAAATACACAATATTTTGGTGCAAATACTAAAATAATCATACATTACGTTGATGAATTCACAAAGTGTATATAAAGTGTTCATATTATTTACTAACTGATTGTTTTATCACTGCTTTTGAACTTCATTTCAGCCCCAGACCTGTTAAACTAAAAGAAATCTGTTTAAAAGTAGAGCTGCAACAATTCCTAACCCCGTCATTGTCAACCGTTAAATTAGTCATCAGCTATTTTGAAAATGAGTTTAAGTAATTTTTTAAAGAAAAAAACGTCTAAATTCTTCAATTCCTGATGTTTAAATATGAATGTTTTCTGTTGCTGTTCCTGTTTTGTAAATGATAATTGAAATATCTGTGGATCGTGGACAAAACAAGACATTTGTCATCTTGGGCTTTAGGATCAACACTTTCCACCATTTCTATCATTTTCTAAATTGAAAAAGTACTCTATGAACTGTTGGACATTGACATTTGTTGCCATCCCTATTTAAAAACCTCTTTCACACTGATGGAACTGATAATTATTGTTTTGATATGTAGATCATTCATTTTATTTATATGGTTTCTGTCACTATGAATTAGTTTTCTACACTTTCAGGTTAAAGTGTTGTCATTAATTTAATTGTGAACATGAGAAATCTGTTGCTTTCCGTCTGCAGAACTCTGAGCTGTTCACCCTGACGTATGGAGCCCTGGTCACTCAGCTCTGTAAAGACTACGAGAACGACGAGGAGGTCAATAAACAGCTGGACAAGATGTAAGTCAACTCTCATGAGCTATGTCAACACCCAGATGCAGATTGAAAATTGTTTAAATGCCATCAATTGGACTTCATGCTATGCAACAAATGGATAGAAATCCTCAATTTTGACACCAGTAATAGAAAGACGACACTTCCATCACGGCATATTCTACAGAAACAATATATCGTCTGTCTTATTTATAGTGAGTGCCTCTTTATTTGCCACTAAATATGTATGTCAGTATTCAACCTGTTTATTTTGATACACCCTAAGCTACCAGATACTCTGGTAGGAGTCTGTCATCAGCTCTTGTTACTGGTATAGTATGAGACATGACCACACATCACATACCCATATCATACAATCAAATACTCAACAACATATCAGAGTACATGTAATACTGTTTACAGAGTATTACTAAGAAATGGGCATACTGCATGTTAGCGTAAGATGCAGCCTTGTTCTCTGTCCACACACACACCAACTGGACTTCTGGTTATGAGCACACACACCAAGTTTCTTTTCTCCAACATGTTTAAATTTATCCTTTGGAGAGAGTGTATTTGTCTAGCCTCTTAGATGTTTCCCTTTAACTCACAGCTTCACTCTGTCACAGTCTCCTGTTGTCAGTTCCTATTATACCTTGACACAAACTGGATTTCATTTCTCACACTTTTGTGCCGGCTCTTGTAATTCTTTAGGACGGTGTTTGGCCTTTGGAAGAAGTGATACTTATTTTTAAGATACAGGAAAAATCTCTTGAACCTGATACTGGGCTCACACGAAATGCGTTAAGACAAAACCATGGGTTTATGACTTAAAAAATTCAAAACATCTTGTAATGCAGACAGAACTTTGGATTGGAATTACTTTGGTTCTCTGTTTGTGTGGCAACCCTAAGCTCCCTCCATGCTTAAGTCATGAAGAAGCTCGTCTTACCTGGCCTTAGAAGGCAGTGAGTCTGAACTGGCCACTCTGCCAGCTGCCATCCAGCTGGTCAGAGACAGACCATGTTAGGATCGGGATGCATCACTTGGCTTCAGACTTTGCAGCTAGGATAAGTGGACTTCACCCTCTAATCAGAATTATCATTATTTGCCAAGTGTGTGAACCAAAAATGTCTCGGAGGACTTGGAACTGTCTTCTGTCTCTTTACGGTGTGCTGCAGTTGGGCCTGCCGTGTTTCCTTTGGGCTGTGAAAAACAAGACGTTATCTCTCTTTAACTCAGCTTCTCCCTCTGTATTTATTCCACAGGGGTTACAACATTGGAGTGCGTCTGATTGAGGACTTCCTGGCACGCTCCAGCATCGGCAGGTGTC